GGCTTTCTAAACAGTGTGCGCACTGTTTTGCAAATGTTCAAGACGTAGTAAGGCTGTCCTCACAGTACCCAACCGTTTGTACATACCGCTGTGTTCTCCATTGTGCCCATAAGCTATTTGATAACTATCTGCATGTTACATCGGGGGTGCAGCCATGCAGTGCTCGTAAAACGATTGTCGCCATGCGCCAATTCATTCCCCATGTACTATAATAAGGCACTGACGTATCATTATCATTGGCATTACCTTTTTCTTAATCTATCCAGAAGATTGGCCATGTCCAATTCAACTTCTGGTAAGCGTCTTTGTGCTTCCGTCTTCGATCCGCTTGGTACTTACGTATTCATAAGTCCCAGTAAATTCAGCATGGCTGATGAACAACGGGAAATAAAGCTATGCTCATTCTCATCGTTGATTGCCGGGAAGGTTCACTTGCTACGGGTTTTCCCCAGGTAATTTCTGCCCGGATGCGTAGCGCATAATGGTCACAGGAGGGCTAGCCGGTGAGCATTGTGTGCTCCAGACATCAAACTTTGCTCTTTATGCGTAATGTTAGCAGCCAAGCCCCTCTAACGCTTGAGTTCACAGGTATCTAGGGAACTGGAAAGAAACCCTATAATTTGCCACACTAGCGGTGATCAGCGTCAACATCACAGCTCCGTCGAAATTTACGCGCGAATCTCAAATACAAACGACCTCCTGGATGGACTAAACCTTTACCGGCGATACATCGACTCCAAAACCGTCGTGCTATTTGGGATGGGGCTGCGGGTCAAGCTAAGATCATGTGATCTACAAAATGATTTCAAGGAGCAGTATGTATATAGCATAGTCTGGTGCGCAATAACATAGAGCTTGCAAAGTGACGTGGATCATGACCGAATAATACAAGGAAGAGGAAGATGTCGTAGCTTGCCATCTCCTGGACAAGCTAGGGACATGTAATCTACCAATCAATTTCACGGAGCGGAATGCAGATAGCATAATCTGGTGCGTAATGCATGGAGCTTACCTGCAGACATGAATCCTGTCCTACTAGTAATACCAAGACAAAGATGCGTAGCTCGCCGTCTCCTGGACAAGCTAGGGTCATGTAATCTACAAACCGATGTCAAGGATCAGTATGTAGGTAGCATAGTCTGGTGAGTAATGCATGGAGCTTACATAGTGACGTGAATCGTGGCCGAATAATAATAATAATAATACGAAGAGAAAGATGCAGTAGCTCACCGTCTCGGCATATCACCACACTAGACTCCACTTGAGAAGATAGCAAGGATGACATAGCGTAGGTCATGCTGGGTACAACTTTGTGATGGGCAACACATCAATTCATTTCGAACTACAACCGAGTTACTTAATCTCTATAAAGATAGGTTGAATTTGGCTCATCCTTTCTATGCAGGTGCAATAAAATATACTACATTGCACCAAGTCAGTGTGTAACCATTCTAGGTTGAAACTGTATCAAAGCGCGACTTAAACGCGCGATGGCATAAGGATGACAAAGAAGATGACGGAGATGGATTAAGCAATTTTCCAAGTTAGAAAAGAAACGTTGCGATTAAGTCCACTGATTTTTATAACCTCAGCTAAGTTAAATCCGCGGTGAAAGAACGAGAATTATAGCTATGCTCATTTTAACAAAAAAAGTAGAATCACAGTGGAACTGTGATATCGTTGGTGTGTGCTGTGAATGCCGTCTCCTATATTAATTGCATGCTATCCGTGTCGAATTGTAAACCCGAGCTGGTGCTGATCATCACTTCTCCGAGGTGAGGGAGAATTAACAGGGAATGGAGAATCATACCAATCCGTCAAGCAGCACACATTATCCTTTCACTCGGCGTCGCATGCGTGCCCCGATTTCAGTTAATTCCAGAGGACCTTTTTGACCGATTTTTCCTCCCTATCTTCACTTCCGTTCACCGTTTTCTGACTGGGCTAGATTTGTTCTAATGCTTTTGACTTGCTGATCTGCTGAGCAACCTCCTCGCGGTGTCAGCTGAGCGCTTCGGGTATTTCTTTTCCCTGCGAATGGTTCGGCGGCAGTGTTCCAGGATGTGGTGGGTTTACACTTGACAAGAGTTATCCTTATAAAAAGCCACATGTATCCCTTTAACAGTAATGTGACTCGCCACTAAATAAAGTCAGTGCTCCTTGTCTTCTCGAAGACATTGTATACCGGCAAGCAACCCGAGCATTGAAGTGTTCGGCTCCGGGCATGGTTTTTGTCATCCGACAGGGGTCTGAACTGAATTTTCAGCCACCGGCTCCCAACAGGTGCGAAATTCTTATTTTGCCCTGAGGCCTTTTGAGTTAGGCCCTTCGACCAAAGGCTCGGGACCGTGGTCACCTAAGACAACCCACCTACTTCTGCCTAGGCAACCGGGTAGTATCTCACCTTCTGATGAACCATAGATACACACAACTAGGCAATCCCTAGCTCTCACGATCCACTGTGCTACGAAAAGGCCAACATTACACACACACGCTACCAAGTTACACATACCCTTTCTTTGTATTACTCATCTTCATTGTTGCCTGATTCTTCAAATTGAACAATTTTGCCTCCGCCGATGAAGTTGTTCTCTAGCCATCCATCAACTCAACCACACAGTCCTCGACAGGAAGCTGACAGCAACGAAGTTTACCAACTTTGCTACTGCGACCTGGAATGCAGTTCAAATAGCAACCCTCAACGTACGCACACTACTGCAGATCAGACAGCAAGCTGGACTTGCAAGCACGCTGGAGACCCTTGAAATTGCTGTCTGCTGCCTGACTGAAACTCGACTGCAGGATTCCAACACACTATTAGCTGTCGTTACCAGTCCAACCACAAACCTGCTTTTATCTTCGTCTTTTTGGAGACGCGGACTCCACCGCATCTGAGCAAGCTAGTGTTGGAATCGATCTCAGTGCTAGAGTTGAGGCCGCCCACCTTGACTGGATTCCATTCAACTGTTGCCTAAGCGCTGTGAAGCTCCGCGGCTCTCTTGATATATATATATATATATATATATATATATATATATATATATATACGTATATATACAATTAGCAGTCTATAAGATAGACATAGGACCAGCGAAAACCGTGAAACGGAAATAATGTATACATAGACCACAAATAGAAGACTGAAAATTACAAAACTGTTTTTTGTTTTTGAATCTGATTTTTTGTTGTTTGTTTCACACACCGTTTTATGTTTTTTGGTCGGTTTAATGTTTGCAATGTAAGTCAAGAAAATCAAGACCAAGGTTTGTACACATTTTCCATTAAGCCCGGTTCTGCACCATCTCCGAAAGCGTTTCCAGCCAGCGGTGTTTTTCATTTTTGTTCTCTCAGCCCAGAAGATGCACGAGACCTACGACAGCCAAACTGGAAGTTAGCGCTTTCATCGCTTGTCGCCAAGTGAGAGGCTGACCACGGTGCGATTTCTTCCAGCCTGGTCCTATGCGAACGAAGGGAGCGCGTCAGGGTAGCCGTTTGCATGAGATGCGTAAAACTTGGCCCAGCCATCACAGTTGGCGCAGCGGTACCAGGCTGTCAAGTGGAACTCCCGTGTTACCCAAGACGCGGAGTCCAACCGCATTATTGCATCACAGCTGATGGTTGTACTGGAGATGAGGTCTCACAACGGATCGCTAACTACCGCGTTGAATCCAGCAGACTGTGACATTTATAGCGCCTTTGCGAAGACAATGCCGAACTCAAGGGCAGGGTATACATTACCTCTGTCCGTGCGGTCTTCTTATACGGCTGCGATACCTGGTCGAATCAATCAGGAAACTTAAAACAATCCTTAAATTTTGACAATGGTTGTCTGCGTAGGATTGCTCGCATGTGGTGGCAGCATCACATGTGTAACGCAGAAGTCCGACAGCGAGTATTTGTAGCAAACAGGCCATGACTTCAAACGTTTGTTCTCCGCCACCGCATGCGTTGGCTCCGCATGCAAGCATATCGCGTTCTCCGTCGAGCCTTATTTGCACTCCCCGGAAGCGATTAAAAAAAGTACCGCGGTGGACGACCAATGATATGGAGAAGGAGCGTGAAGAATGCGACCTCAAGCTTAGCATCCTTCGGATCGGTCCACGGATGGGGACCACGGGAATCGGACTGTCAGTGAGTAGAAACGTTGGAGACTAAAACGAGCAAACGGCATCTGTGGAGAGAGGGCTGTTCAACCGTGTTATCTATTAGTTAACGTCTCATCGAACATAATGCTCCAAAACTCACAACTAATCTCAAAACGGCGTGTGTAAAACAGCAAAATCGGTATTTTTGTATGTTATCTTTCGCTTCCCCATTTAGTTCGCTATGGTTCTGATGAGCTCACAATTTGTACTCAGATTGTGGATGGGCTGTTGACTTGCTTAGTCAGGGTTGCGTCACTCTCTTTTGGGTTATTCCTGGAGGAGTAACCAAAGGCATAAGTTACTGGAAAATCGTGCTCTTCGCCACTACATTCCACGCTCTTCACGGTCTTGGCCTGATATCGTTGATTGCTTGTACATTAATTTCGACTTGTTCCTTAAGTCTCGAGTTGTTCTGTTGACTTTCGTCCCTGGTGCCCTCGTTACTTCTCCTCTTCCTTGACTTCTACGGCTTGTTGCTCCCGCCTGTGATTCCTGTCTTCCGCGCCACGACTTCACGATTGACATGTGAAATAAAAAACATGAATCATCAATATCATCATGCGAATCGCTAGTTAGTTACTTGCCGGGATCGTTCACCTTCCACAGACTTTGCAAGACGATTTTTCTTGAGATGCGTGGTTTAACGTGGCTACGCAGTATGCCTTGCTGTATTTGCACATCGTCTTCGTATGTGTTGGCTAGGTGCTGACAACCTGCTGCTAGGATCGAGTCTGGACATTTGGTGGTAGAGATTAACGTGTCTATGAAGATTACTTGTCATAAGAACTCTAAAAGTATCGAGTAAGCAGTGAGACATTGTAGAATGTCATTCATTCAATCACCATTTGTTGTTGTTTATGCAGACTTTCGTTGATAGCGGACTCATTCAATCGCTCCTGTCGCTTACTGAAACGGTGACAGCAAGGCAATCATCACCAAGGCCACACAACCTAGTCTTGAACCACTCTGCATTGGAGCAAAACCAACCAGGGACCGATCAGTCGACTTTACCACCTACCGAATGCATTCATCTAGAGGAAGATCGGACCGGAATTGAAATGTTAACGGACATTTTGTACATTTTGGCACGAGCCTGTAAAGATTCTGCAGTAAGGTAATATCACAGGAGTTATGGATTCGTACTTTAGTTATCAATTACGTCACGGCTCCGGATCGACTTATTCTTACCTTATACCACAATAAGAAGTGAAGTAAACTTTGATATAAACGGATGATTAAATGTAATGTAAGTTTAAACGTAAAGTGGAATCACTGTTGTGTAACATAGCGAACAAAATCAAACGTTCATAAAGCTTATTTTCACTTATAACTTCTGTAGTTGATGCACTGCCTGTGACCGCCCAATAAACTACTGCGAGGAAGTAGGTGGGAGATTTGAATGGTGAGAAGTGTAATCCCTCACATCTAGGCTCATTCAGGCAACCGGCACACGTCCGGAAAAGCACTGTACGGCTGTTTCATCCTTTCGGGAATTGGCAACTCCGCACGTTCCATCAGTTCCTTGTGAAGCTAGTACCCTAGTTCGTAGTTAAAGCTGCCGGGCTACATGAACCCTAACTATCGATGGGATGTTTTGCTGCTCACCATCCATTGGCTTTCACTTCACAAATGAATGCACTCTATTGACGCTTCGTGAAGGGATGAAACGATTGTGCAGCGCTTTTCGGATGTATGATGGCTGTGATGAATTTCAAGTTATACGAAAAAGTGGTCAGCCTTCGCCGTAGCACAGTTTGGGTCTAACAAACCTGCCGTGCAAACACTACTATGTGGGTTGTTGAGGCATAAAAATGTACTGTTAGTCACGTGTTATGTGTTTGCACAGAATAAAGTAGAACTGATGGAATGGGTTGACAGACCTCCGATCCTCAATGCTCCACTTGTGATGATGAAACCTCAAAAGATAGCTACATTTCTACCCATCATGCGGAGACAATTGAACGTCAGCTAGTTGGCTAACATTCGGCTGCAGAACATGGCATTCCGTTTGCTCCCCCGCATTTACCGGAGATGTGTCCATGCCTAAACATGACACATCGCAGTCATTTCCCTTCCCACACTTCCTGGGAGGTGTCAGACGTCTGTTTCGACCTATTGAGACTTATATGTGGTAGGCATCTTTCGGCCTCAACAGAAAGCGAACTCATGACGTCATGGCAACAGAGCGAATGTGTGGGTGGTTGTTTGGCCTGGAGTCGATTAAGACGAAACATCTCTAATTTGAAACAGGAAATCTTTGACTCATAAAGCGATCACTTTTTCCTATACACCGATGTCTGATTAGGCTTGGAACACACAAGATGCTTAAATCACACACTTCGCACATCTGGCGGCCATCTATGTTGGAAGGTATTGGACTCAGGCCCAATAACTGGTTTGTTGAAACCCCACGGAGACTGATCATCTATATGATAGAATGGTGTGATTAGGCTGACCAAAAGTCTTTCCTGAATTGCTGAGTGCCGTGCTTTTGAAAACGTAGCTCATTATCTTCGACCTCCCTATTGCGTAAGAGAGTGTAGATTGAACCCTATCTCGGATGCTTCCCATTGCATTACGTCTGCCCATCAGTATTTGTGTTACGGCAGCGCGGGTCAAGGAAACTAGTATATATGTATGTAATCTCAATAGTCTAGCAACTAGAACGGGAGACAACAAAAACCATGGAAATTAGCGGATAAGGAGAAGTCATCGCGTCATAATCATCGTTGCATAGCAGTTGAAGGTGAGCAACACACTTCAGCTACTACACCTGTAACGGGAAGTAAGCATTATTAACAAACACACAATTGGCATGTGATGAAGTCGCGTGAATATGAAAAGCAGAAACGGTAGCTAATGAGCACGTTGCAGTACAGTCCATGATTTTGTGAGAGGGTGTGATACTACCCGGTTGCCCAAGCCAAAGTAGAGAGTTGACTTAGGGGATCCCACTCCAAGCTTTTGGCTAAATTACCTACCCGCAATGCAGCGGGCCGAATTCAAGGAATCGCGCCCATTGGGAGGCACTGACTGAATATTCAATTCCTGCGTCTTTTGTTTGGTAGATCACCAAACAGGAGCCCAATATTTCCCATGAAACCAGCACAATTGCTGGACTACAATGCCCCACCGAGGTGGAACATTGTCGCTGAACACTTCCCTGGAACGGCGTACATCCAAACCGCCCAGCTGGCACCCCGAGGAGGTAGTTCGGCAAGCCAGCCCACGGCAACTTGATCTACCAGACACTTCGGCGAACGGATATTGATGGGGGAATTCAGTTTACTATTTCAGTACTATGTGATGGGATAAACAGCAGCACTCTTTATAAGACCCATAGGATGTCAGACGCAAAAGAAACTTCGGTTTATACTGTTTAGGCTGGGAATTGAATTATCAATAGTGTATACCTTGCACTTTATCATACTGTTGTGTAGCGGTTATCACTTAGATGAATGTCTAATAATCTCTTCGAATGGCGCAATGTCAAGGGCCTTTCACCACATGTACCGGCAGTGTATTCGATGGTGAACAGCTTCTAAAAGAGTTTTTAAAAATCGATACATTCCAAGGGGAGTGTGTTCAACAGACTCACCATACTGTTCATTCGTCATTAGTGAATTGCAGCTCGATTTAAGTTTCTTAATCAATAATTATAATAATAGCAACATATTCGTGTGTTCGTAAACAGCAAGTACGATCGGTGAACGTTCCTGTACCCACCGCCGTCTGAGGTTAGCCGTACTTTTTCTACATGATATATCTGCTAACCACGTGCTTTTTTTCACGTATTGTTCTAAAAATGTGGCATTTTAAACTGAGGCTCTACTTTTTGCGTGCAAGCACTGCCTTAACGCTTCTCCCGTCAACTTTATTCCAGGAAGACGCATCTACCTGTTCAAGCCATCGATAGCATTCTGTCTTTACTATCTGCGTTACCCACCCGCTTTGCTCAGTTGGAGAGCAATTCAGCGTGTAGTCCGTTCAAACTACAACTGGCCACTTTATCGGTTCGACCTTTCATCCACCGTATTTGTCTGTTGAAACTAGCCGTGACACTGGTCGATGTCATCTGGTGTTGCATCGTCGGTTCCGGAGAGCATGAGCAATATTTCCTTACTCGAAACGGAGCTTGGTTGTTGCTCGATCTGCTAGAGGTAAGTACAATAGATAACTAGAAAGGACTTTATATTGCCAATCACTGATTGACTAACCGTTTGCCTGGCAATTTTCCATGCACAGTAAGAGCCTACTCACGACCAACTTACTATGCGTACAACCCCTGTATACTCAGAAACATGAGATGTGCAGGCAGACATAAACATTGTGATTGAAAGCATTGAATTGGTCAAAGGGTTTGTGATTCAGTTCTTCCGTCGAGTGCCAGCTTTTCGCAACCATGATGCCAACGCACCACCCGGATATCCTCACCACGTGGCCAATCATGGATGGAATTTGACCATATCGCCATCAATTACTACTGGAGGACCACGTACAAGATGGTAATTCAATCTGGAGCATCTACCTCACACCCGATCAAGCGCTCATGTGTGCTAAAGTCTCCCTATATTTTGGTGGGACCAAACAACGTCCTCTGAAACAGCTTTATGTGGCTAAGCTTCCCTCCCCTAACGTTTTCAGTGCTTTCCTGGAGGTTTTGGCCCCAACCTTTAAGAATGCCTCATGCTGAGACATTAAGACGCCGTGGGCACACATTCGCAGCGCCACACACAACTCTGCATCCTTGGTGTGTGCTTTCACTGGTGGTCCTGTCAAAAACGGTGTCCCCGTACGATGTCTCCAGTTGCTCCACTCCAGTCGATCGATTCCTGCTGGTGTTGGGTTCTACTCATTGTATAGAACTGCCGGCGCCGAACTCAAGCAGTTCCTCCGGGAGGATCAAGAGGCCTGTTGGACGCAGTGAATGAGATTTATCAAGCGGCCAAATCGGGGAATTCCGGTAGACTTTTCCTCCTGAACCGATCCACTGCGGTGAAACCAGTGGCGAACCAATCCACTGGTAACAACGTAAACTCGTGTGTTACGTTCAGCATTTCGAACGACAGTTTAATTGATACACGGCAACGATACGTTCTGACTCAGGAATCCAAAGTGTTGCTTGACGTGTAAGCGTCTCACTACCATCTGAGGCTAAGGTTGTTCAGAAGCTTCCCCTAGTAAAACTCTACAAAGCCTCCAGTTCAAACGAAACGTCGCCGGTTTTTTTTCAATATGGAGGTCTATCAATTATCCGGGAATTAACCTCCCTCTTCCAAGGGTTTGGATCACCGATACAATCCCGCCATCCGAATGGGGTCCAGCCGATATCGCTCTCATCTTAAAAAGGGTATCCCAACAGACTGCGCTAAGCGTAGAGGGGCTAGTCTAAATCGCTTTGCATGTAATGTGCTCACCACATTGTTTTTAAGGAGGCTCAACCTGGTACGCGAACAGAACATGTGCGAAGACCAAGATTGGTTCCAATCCGGAGGCTGTATAGATCACATTTTTACCATCCGTCTGGACAGGAGGCCGATCAGATTGATAGCAAAAGGGTCAACGCACCTCCAGATGTAGAAACTGAACTAATAGTGCTTGCACATGGGTGCAACGGCAGGCACCGGGAACGTTGCCCGATTAGAAGGGATACGTTGTAGACCACAACTGAGACATTCGCACTGCTAATCGATACGGTAACATTCACCGCTCGAACGTTGAATGACGCGTAGCCGGTGATTGGATCAAAACAACTGCTGTGCTATTAAATTACATACAGTTAGGTAAATTGGACAAACCTCACTTGTTCAGAATCCCGGTTTACCACAGTCAAGGACACATTTCAAGTAAACAGCAGGGAGGAAAGTGCTGTTCAAAGCAGACAGTCAGAGGACAAATGAGCGCACCATAGACGTGTGAAACTGTGGAGAAAGTTACAGTGGCCAGTCATTGACTGCCCAATCACAGAATGGGGAAAGGTTGAGGTTAACGGACGGCACACACACATACAAGTCAGAAGAGTGTCAAAATTGATGACCTGTGCACCGGTCAGTGATAGTGGTAACTATGTTACAATGCCATGTAGGTGACGACATCAGACCTGGTGCCTGGTCATCTGTTGTCTTCGCGACAAAATTAAAATGAGGTCAAATGTTGTTAGTGGAAAAAAGAGTGTATAAACCAGCTGTAAACCCCTGGACAATAGTGTGGGCGTATGGGGGATTTTACGATTACTGCGGCAAGCACATTGAAGGGGAGTAGGCGGCGGCCATGTTATCCTGATATTTTTTGATGACACTTCGGTACACGAGCAGCCTCTGTAAACCAGGTGAGAGGTCATTTCAGTGAACGGAAAAGCACAATCCTACTGTTAACGGAAAACATGTCTTACCGGAACTTTACAATCAATGCAAGACTTCGCTACAGATACATCTAGGATATTCAAGATGAAGCAGTTGGTGAAGCACTATCTCACAATCGATGGCAATGCACCGAGGACAGGACAATGTGCGCTTATCCAACATTGCCGTCATGCACATGTTGAGAAATATAGCTCGTAGTGAAGAGGCGACAACAAGCCAGGTAACGTGGCAGTATCTCGGCTACTGACGGACCATGGAACCACAATTTTGTTGGCTCCTCCTCTCTCGCTCTCCTGACGTACCGGTATTATGTCAAACAATTTGTTCCGGCCTCTGATCTTAAGGATCACAAGCCTACCTTGTAGTCCTGCGGTCGCGGGTTCGAAACTGTGTAGAGGGCGGCGGGACTCTCGCGGTATCCTTAGCCCAGGCGCGACTGGTAGTGGTTGGGCGGCAGTGAGGCGTCGGTATTGCGTAACGGCGTACTGCTGATGCCACCGACCAATTTACGAACCCTGCCCTTGTACCATTCAACCACATTGTTATATGAATGTTCAATGGCGAACAGCCCTACATTCGCCATGTGAATTCGTTCCCTTCACATTCATCAGTCCTGGACAAGGCGTTGCTAATCCAGAAGTCTTTCACCTTCCCTCCTGCAACCTGGAATGCAGCTCATACTAGCAACATACAATGTGAGCGCATTGCTGCAGATGGAATGTTAAGTTGAACTTTCATGCACGCTAGTGACTCTTGCAATTGATGTCTGCTGCCTAACTGAGAAATACTCACAGGATTCCAATACATTCCACCGACTGTCATCACCACTCTACTCATACATCCGCTTCCATTTCCGCTATTCTGGTGACGCCGAGTCGGCCGCAGCTGGACAACTTGGCGTTGGCATCTTCCTGAGGGACTGAAGGTCGCCCTTCTTGATGGGATTCCAACCACCAGTTGTCATGAAGCCCCTGTAAAGTTAGCAGACATCGAGAAGACAAAGGTGTTACTTTTGTGATCATTGCCTACGCACCCATTGACGACAGGTCGGATACAGAAAAGGTGCAGTTCTATGAACACCTTCATGGACTGCTCCTAAGGGCGCCTAACACAGGCATCACTATTATGGCAGGAGACTTCAACACATGTGGCGGCCGCTTGCCGCCATATGAACGCCACCTCGGGGATCACACAGGAATGGTAACATTCGCTCTGACAACGAAGGGACTGCTCAGTCTATGTGCTGAGCACCAACATTTCTTCTCTAGCACGAGGTTTCGTCACCCAAGAAGCTAATATGCTACATAGCGTCTGCTATCATCAACCCAGCGCTGATCACAAGTTGATCACTTAGCCATAAGTCGCAGGTGGAGCGGCAGCGTACACAATTGTCGATTATTCTAATCAAGTTGCCTTGAAACCGATTATGTATTGGTCTGTGTGACAATTTATATGCTTCTCGGTGTCCCACCTAGGACCAGACAAACCTGACTGAACACCTGCAATAATGAAAATGCAATATCAACAGAAGCTTCGTGGAATTCTCAGTCTCTCCCCTACTCTGGATTTCCATCAACACTGGTCAAGTTTGCCACAAGTCATGCTATCCGTCGGTCTGTCTAGTTGTGGTCTCGCCCGCTGCACAGGCAATGGCTAGATTTCGGCATACTCTTCGGAACGGTTGGATCGTCAACGGGCTCTGCTCGTCGGTACGGAGCTGAAGCAACTGTGTCGGTCTATCTCTCAACAGAGGAAAGCATGCATTTGTTCTGACCGTGAATCCCGGTGGTTAAAACGAGCCGTTAAGATGGAAACCGCAACATCGGCTGGAAATTCGCGTTATTTATATTACCTCATCAAGGCCACCGGTTTCAATGTACAAGCTATCAGTCAGATAAGTTGTGAGTCAGACGGCACAAAAATAGCCAACCTACACAGGCGCTTACGTTACTGAGGAGGGCACCTTGCTCTTCAATTGAGATATCAAGCACAGCCCTCTGTGATGCCACCGCTCCCATCTGATGGTGTTTGGCTTGTCCCGTACCGAAGCAGAGATCCGAAGCGCAGTCTTATCTTTGAATTATCGCACAGCCCTTGGCCCTGACAGCCCACCTACGGCTGTATACAGCTAGCGAGAATTCGCTTGTCAACGAAATCCTATCGCATTTCACGTAGGTTTGGACCAACGAAAAGTTTCCAGACTCATGGAGAGAATCGGTTGAGTCCCGATTCTCAAAAGGCCCCCCACCAGAATTGCGCCAATTATCGCGGAATTTCTTTGGTCTATGTTGCGTTCACAATCTTCATATCCGTCCCACTTCGCAGGCTTTCAGCGACTAGAGAATGCTCTCGAGAAGAACAAGCCGCTTTCTATCCAGACCAAAATTACACCGATCAAACCTTCACGCTTCGCCAACATTTTGAACGTCGTCATACCCACCGACAGACAACGATAGTAGTATTCTTAAGCATCCGAGTGACATTTGATTCAGTAGACAGATCTGCGTCGTGGAACTATCTACTAAGGAAAGGCGTTTTTGCAATGTTTGCAAGGATCGCGAAGAAACTTTACAGCAACAACTCGGGCAAAGTCAGGGATTCCGTCAGGCTCTCCCCTTCGTTTGCTGTCATCGGCAGCGTTCGCCGAGATTGTTTTATTTCACTATATTCTTCAACGTTGCCATCCATGATATCGTCCAATGAGCGTTGAAAGATGTCTACAACTACGGTGTTTATCTTCTTCCTGGCGAAAGAGTGGCGGGCTTGGATTAAGCTGATGACAGTGCTTTGCAAGGGGG